ATGTAGAAATTATTAGAATGCGTACCAATTTTCTTTTATTTTTTAGGTTTTTAGAATAAATTAGTGGAAGATATTGTTAGTAGAAAGAGAGAGATTTCAAATGGCCTCATTGTATGAATCCTATCTTTAAATCAATATTACTAAATTTATGTTAAAGACCATCTTGTTATAAAAATAAAAAATATAATTAGACCATTTATTCCTAGGTTGTATGAAGAAATACCTTTTATTTTGTTGACAAGAAATACTTATTGTGTTATCTTTTATTTTTTTTAAAAGAAAAATATGATACTTGTTGATTATCTGTGTTTTTTTTTTTGACAAAAGAAGAAGATGTTGTAGTACATTTTTTTTTTGCTTTTTGTATTTTTTATTTATTTTTTTTTACAAGAAAAATAAAAAAATGATGCTGCCAAAGTACATTTTATTTTTTTATGCCTTTTGTTTTACTTTTAGCAAGAAATTATTGTTATATTACCTTGTATTTTTTTTACAAAAAAAATAAAAAAATGTTGTATTATCGTTATCTTGAAAAGCCTTTTATTTTTTATTTTTTTTATTTCTTTACAACAGTATTTTATGCCTTTGTTTATTTTTTTGACAACAAATTATATTTTTTTTACAAGAAAAATAAAAAAATGTTGTATTATCTTTTTTTATCTTTATCTTGAAATGCCTTTTATATTATATTTTTTCTATTTTTTTACAACAGTATTTTCTGCCTTTGTTTATTTTTTTGACAACAAAAAGTTTTTTTTGTATTTTTTTATTGTGCGCTAAGGGGTTCGAACTCAAATTTTTCTTTGTTGTGCGCTAAGGGGTTCAAACTCAAGACGTCCAATGAAAAATCAGCGTTGTCAACCAATACAGCCACATCGCCTCGTGTGATTCTATCTTATAATAATATATATTCAATTATCTTTTTTTAATGATTTTTTGTGGGAATTACCCCACATTGAAGGGTGAGTGGTGCTTGGTTATCTATAGAGTCGTGTGTAATAGATACTCTATTATGCATTGTGCTTGTAGGAAAGTGAGGGGGCAGACGTGAGGTGAGGTGTGCCACATGTCACTCTTTTGAGGCGGCCACGTGTAAGCTTAAAAAATACATTTTTTGGATGAGACTCGCGATTCACGAACAATTCCCGATTTTTCGCTTTTTGGGTGAGACTCATGATTCACAGGCGATTCCCGGTTATTTCGTGGAACAGTGAGACTCATGATTCATGGGCGATTCTCGATTTTTTTGTGTAACTGACTCGGTAACAGACGATTTTCGAGTAGATCCGGACGAGTCCGACTCGACTCAACGAGTTTTTAAAAACTGGTAAGGTAATTCGAAGATCCAAACAACCCCCGTAGGCAATTTGTCCGAGGGAGCAAATGTTCGAATTGCTCCCGCGGGAGCACAGGGCTTTTTATTCACTTCGTTTCAGAGCTCGCACGTTTGTTTAGCTTGCAAGAGCAGCAGCCAGCACGCCCAAGACTTGCAGGTTTCGATGCTCTGAACTCCACTGTGAGACCTCCGAGCAAGAGCTTCAGAGGACATCTGTAACCCTAAAAAAACCCTAAAAAATGGCGTTCGTTTCATCGTCTGTAATTTTAGGGGTTCCTCTGGTTCCACTATCCATCATCTCTGCAATCGTGGGCGGCCTCTTAGTTCTTTTTATCTTCTCAGATTACTATCGCCGTAGAAGAAATGAAGTCAAATTCATTGCCCAGATTTCCCCGGAAACTTCGAACCGGAAGCCTTTGAAGCCTCATATTCAGAGCTCAAAGAAATCTCATGCTAAGCCTCAGTCATCAGCTGCTGACAAGGTACATTTTGTGGCGATTTCTTGTTCAGTTCTTAGGAATTCGTGTTTTAGGCTCCGTAGTTTAGGTGTTGGATCTATTGATCATATTGTTTTCCCGATTTATGGTTGCATCGTAGTGTAATTTGTTATGTTTCTGGTTGTACTGCTCACAAGGTGCATTTTTCTGGTGATTACGGCTGTATTCTCTATGGTTTCGTGTTTTAGACTGTGGATTTTAAGTTAGGGATTTTTGTCAATAATTTTCAGGTTTGAGTTGCATCATTCTGTAGTTTGTGATGTTCTTCTGATTATTTATTATTCGGTTCTTTATGGGTATGTGTTGTGGTCTATGGAATTTAGGGTCTAGTGTTGATTACCAGTTATTTTTTTGATTTGGGTTGTGCAATACTGTAATTTGTGATGTTTCTCATTTGGTCGTTTGTAGGGTACAAATTCTGGTGATTTATGGTTCAGCTATTTATGATCTTGTGTTTTATGCCATGGGTTTTTAAGGTTTTGGGTTACTTAACGGTAGTATCCAGGGTTAAAGGTTCCATACTATAATTTGTGATGTTTCTGTGTATAATTGATGTTTAGGATCATCATAAGAGGCACCATCCTTTGGATGTGAACACTCTAAAGGGGCATGGAGATTCTGTACCTGGTCTTTGTTTCTCGCGTGATGGCCGGAGTTTGGCTACTGGTACGAGCTGAATTATCAATGCAAATTGAATCATTTGTTTCAATTTGGATTTCGTTATTGTTTCGATGATTACAAATGTTTGAACCTGTATATATTTGGCTTCCTGCATGGTTCTGGAACCCTATTGAGTCCATTGATCTGATACAAATGGGTTATTCAAAACCCTCTTTGCATTCTTTCACGTCGAGTTTTGTGGTTCTCATGGCTTCATTTATTTATTCGTTCATTCATTCATTTTTTTGATAATTTGTAAAGACAAACAAATGCAATCTCATAAGTATCCTTGCATTTCTTACATGCAAGAGTAATATATTGGAAATACACTTTGATATAAACAATACATTTTGATCTTAACAACATTCAGATGTTAATATTGGAAATTTGTGTTGGAGTTCTAAAAATAGGTTCATAAAAACTCATGAGGCTAGTTTCCAAAAAGATAAGTTTTTATTCATCAAAACAAATGCAATGAAAAGACTGAGTTTACTTATTTATGCCGATTTTCATTTTATGTTTGCTGTTTATAGCTTGCGCAGATGGAGTTGTCAGAGTATTCAAGCTAGATGATGCTTCCAGTAAGAGCTTCAAGTATGTTGTCTGTAGAAAAATAAATTCCTTGCTGTCACTTAGCCATTTTTATCAAAACAAAGTGCTTTTTATTCTTATCTCCACTTTAGCAGTTTGTGTCCATTATGCTTGTATGGTTCATATGATTTCCATTTATTGTCTCATACATGCCTTTATCTTATGATTGTGCAGATCACTTAAGGTTAACTTGCCAACGGGGGGTCACCCCACCGCCGTTGCATTTTGTGAGGATGCATCATCTTTTGTTGTGGCTGCGCAAACAATTTCTGGTTCTGCCTTATATATGTATGGTGAGGCTAATACTAAGACAGAAAATGGAACAAAGCAGCAACCCAAGCTTCCTCTCCCCGAAATCAACTGGGAACATCACAAAGTGCATGACCAGAGAGCTATCTTAACTCTTTCTGGTGCAACTGCAAGCTATGGAACCGGTGATGGGAGCATGATTATCGCTTCATGTTCTGAAGGTATGCTTACCTTGTTGAAGGCTTGACTTCAACCTTGTTCTTGATGCATCGAGGATTGAGTTTATAACTTTTTCACTCAAGAATGATGGCCTCACCTTATTTATTTAAATATGCTGGATATCTCTTACTTTTCAGCAGCCACACGGCATCATAATTCCTTGTCTAGACGAGCTTATGACATTTGTGGTGTTATGGTGGCTAATTTCTTGATCCCCAAGGCCATTGTGATTGATAGCTATTCACAGCAGTTTGAAGATTGTAATTGGTATCTGAATGAATGTAGCGCCTACATCAATTTTAGGCACCTGATCTATCAACAAATATGGATGTCTTGTTTAACATTGTTTTCTTTTTTGATTAATTCAATCTTTTGACATTGTTTTATTTTTTGATTAAGTCAATCTTTTGCTGAATTAATTATTATAAATAACGATGGGTTGCATTATAGGCTAATGACTTGCAGATTTTTGTCTTATGAGTGTAAATCCCATGCTTGGTAATAGAAATTACTACTGGAGATTGTGTGCATATTTTTAACATTATTGTTATGGGTTTGATTTGTCTGACTTGTGCCTATTTGTGGGGATAAGATGGGGCCATGATTGATGTCACACATTCAATATTGGATCTGGTCTTTTTCTGTATACACAAAAAGGGGACAGTGAGGCAAGGTTAATTTAGATCTGGATGCAGATGCCAAGAAGGCAATATATCATGTGCTAAATGGTTCAGGGGGGACGAGATGAAAGAGAAAGGGCCATGTGGTAAGCTCCCCAATAAGAAGATGTACCCCGTATTGACGGCGGTGTGGCAAGGGACTCTTGAGAAGAGCCGATAACAGTATTGAATGTCTAGCTAGTGGACTTTGGATGGAATGTCAAAGCTTCTAGATTGGGGTTGCGTGGAACAAAGGTTGCTTAGGTTGTAGTAGAATTTGAAGGGGCTAACTTGAGGTGCAATAGGATCTCTTGGGGTTTGGCTTTGATAATGAGAGAGTTTTGGTGTTTTCTTTGGATGAATGGCGTAGGAGCATAGTGAAGATGTTTGTACTTGTGGATGTATATTCTAGGACACATTGGGGTTTCCTGACAATGTTGAATAGGTGGGAACTTTTTGCTTTTCATGCTAAGTAGTGAAGGGGGGAGTTATTAGTGAAAAAAAGAAGTACATGGCTTGAAGGTGGACAGACAGTTTATGTGGTAAATAGAGGCTTATTGTGATAGAAGTGCAGGGTGTTTGCTTATGACACATGAGGAGGGGAGGAGATGTCTTGGATGGACATATAGGAAGGTCAAGGGACCGTAGTTGATGGCTTCTCAAACAGTGAGGGTCTTGGATGTTGGAAAAAGGGGTTGGCATTGTTTGATAAAAAGGGGGTGAATGTCTGAGGAGGTGGACACACGGGTAAGTGAAGTGGTTGGATAGACTCTAATTGGGAAGCTGTTGGATACTAAGTTAGGCATGCAGAATGTCTGAGTTTGAGTTGCAAGATGGGTGCTGATTCAAGAACTTCATCAGGTCTTTGTTACTTAGCGGGGCTAGCCAAAGATGAAAGTGAGTGTTCCCCTGGGGACATGGAAAAAGCAGAAAAAACCAGATTTCTAGAATCCATCTGTTTCAGCATATGTTCTGTATGATATTTTACACTTTGGCAACACCTTGCGAGAAGTGTGGATGTTATGTGCTTTTAATCACATGGGCTCCAGTTAGAAAAGCACCTTAGTGAGCGGGACGGTTGATTATGTGGGTGGGGGATGATGTAAAGTATTGAAGCTCCTCAGTGCTGTTTTAAGGAAGTTTGAAGAGGTCCACCAGAGGGAGTTCTAAGCTTAAGTTTGACAGGAGCACTATGTGTAGCCTTGGTGATATCGGGATGCCAAGATTCAGGAAGGATGGATCTAGCAATGCGAAGACAGAGGTGTGATTTGCCAGTCCAAAGGGGAAGTGTTCATGATTAGAGGGATCATGAAGTCCACAAGACTTTGTGAAACGGCTTTGGATGATAGCTGTGAGGAGGTGTTTCCAGCAAGGGATATGATAAGTGAGAAAATAAGGGTTCTCGGTTTGGGAGGAAAGATAAGATGTTTTGAGCTTTGCATGTGTGGAGGCCTGGTTAGAATCACTTGTGATGAAGCAGGTGTTATATCAAAAAATAGTTAGTTTGATGTGACATGGGAACAGGCCTTACGTCCTTGACATTTTCAAGATTTCCCAGCAAAAGTGAATCACGTTATTTTTCCTTTCAGATGGGGAATAGATGAACTCTAAACCACCACCCCTTCCAGGTATAGGCTTTAGAGATTCCATATGTATCAGTTGCTGAGTGCATTAACCATCAAAGAACACTCACCCCTGTCCCCCCCCCCACTCCCACCCCACAAAACAAAAAAAAAAAATAAAAAAAGAAAGAAAGAAGGAAAGAAAAAGAACATTCTCAAAAAAAGAAAGAAAGAAAAAGAAAAAAAAGAAGAAGCTGATTGCATGAGAGGAGGCTGAAATTCTGTTTAATTCTCAACATTTTTTGGTTTTCACTAATAAAGTTCCATGCAAGTTAATTAAAAAAAGAAAAAGAAAAAATAGATTGTTTAAATTTTGGATTTCAGCTGTAAATTTTTCTCAGAATATGATTACAGAATTGCTTTCCACGACTTTCCTGTTATTTTTATGGTTGTTTAGGCACTAAATTTATTTTATGCAGTAGGCAATCTCAGCATGTGTTCCCTGGGATGTTTTACACTTGTTTACCAAATTAGGTACTGATATCAAGATTTGGCATGGGAAAAGTGGGAAACTCCTGGGAGTTGCTGATACAAATCAGCTCAAGAATACTATGACAACAATTTCTCCCAATGGGCGTTTCCTGGCTGCTGCAGCTTTCACAGCAGATGTCAAGGTTGGCTGTCTCCAAGTCACTTCTAGTAATAAAGATGAATTGCTTGAGTGGATGCACCGTTGATAAATAATTCAGTTTCTCTTGGATGTGCTGTTAAGAATATAATTAGCTTTGCATAGTTTTCTTGCCAAGATCTTTTCTTTTCAATCATGAAGTGCCTCTCTTTTTTTCTCCACTAACTTCATAGAACTGATTAGGTTTATTCAAGTGTTGCATGATGTTTAATATCAAGTGATGTGGATACATTGTTTATCATTACTATTATAATTATATTTTTGGTAGTATTGATCGTAAAGACTTACTTGAGAACTAGCTCACTGAGCAAATTGAACTATAATTGGCCTTAACATTGTTTTTGCTTATATTTTCACGATGTTGCGGATGTCAACTGCCATGGTGCTGTTTTCTGGACATTATAATCATGTGAAAAATAATGCTTGTTCCTATGCTCCTTGTGCATGGTAACTTCTTCTTTGATCTCACACAGGCCTTGCTTTAATAAGAGATTTTGCTACCGTTTTCTTCGTTCATTTGTTCAAAAATATGGACCATGTGATGGAGTCCCAATGATCTACTTGGAAACTGCCATTGCATGCAGAGCTTCAGTATCTAGCTTTGGATCACAAACCCTCAGCATTTGGCTAATTTAATCATTCGAGGTCGACTGTTCGACAGGTTAAGAAATATTTATATTTTAGATTTGGCTAATTGTGCCCGTTTTCAACGGAATATGTCCGGTTTTGTCCTTTGTTGACATCCCTGCCCTGAGTCTTGTTATAAGATGTTTCAGTTTGCCCCATGGATGGTAGAGGGGAAGCCTCTGCTCTTTAGGTGTTTGAATTTGAATTCTGATTCGAAGCTCAGGCCTAGGATGGGGTTGACGTGTGCAACATGGGGAATCTTGGTTATCCATGTCTGGAAGCTTTCAAAGGTGGGAGGTTAGCCATTCCATAATTGGGTGCTATACGAGCTCTTTAATTATCAGTTCTAGATTGTCGCGGTTCAGAGGTTATCATGTGGCAGTATGGCACTCAATCAAACAAGAACACTTAATATATGAGAGGACCTCGGGTGGGGGAGTCCAGGGATGGAGCGATGGGAAATTTTTTGTTAAGAGAGAGGTGTGAACAGAAAAGAAAGAGCATACTGTCCGGAAATCCCCTTGTTTCCTACAATTTTAGAGATCTTCTCCTCTAATTTACCCTATTCTCTTATTATTTTCATAAAAAATTCATTGTAGAAATAGCAAAATTATATGATTTCTTTTGTCCTCCATACCTCTTTGGTATGAACAAAATTTAAAATCTTTTTTCTCCTCACTTGTTTTTATGAATCTTTTATCTCTTTTTCTCATAATTACGTTTTCAAAAGAAATTAGCTTTTCCTCTCTATACATCTTTTCTATTTCAATTACATTAAGAAAAAATGCCAGCTTCTTCTCTTCACCATCCAAGCTGTTTGAAAGTCTTGCTCTGGATTTTCTAGTAGATCTTCACTTACATTTTATTGTGACTGGTATGATTCATTTGATTTTACTTCTTACCTTTAACTAATTTCCTCCATAATATTAAATTATTTTACTTTTTAAAGAGTCAATATGTTGATGTTTGACAAGATAAGTTTCTTTTGTGTTTTACTTTTATGTTGTAATGTTGTTCGAAATGGGATTAGAAGTGCGTTGGTTTTCCTATATTTGTGTATTTTCTAGATTCATTATAAAGCTAATTTCCTATGTTGTTTTTATTTTTCTATTTTCGTATATTTTAGAAAAAATACTCTATTGTCTTGTTAACATAGTGTTATTTTATTTTATTGTTGCATAGTTGGTGTTTGATAAGATGTGCAAATCTCTGCTTTTATAATTGAAGTTGGCAAAATGGCTTGCTCTCTATTTTATTTAAATTCTTCTCTACATATTTTTAATGTTGAATTGTTAATTATATATATTTTTTATTTTATTAGATTCATTATTTTTTATTGTTTTTCTTTACTACATTTCTCTTCAATATGTAGATTACTTTTTTTTTTTGGTATTTGATAAAATGGGGACTAAGATTTATTCTTTAGAGACGTAAAATCTTAATTAGTGGCTCTAACAAGGTTAATCTGGCCAATATTATGAAAAAGAAGCTGAGAACCAGCCCTAAACAGTAATGTTACGCTTGGTGGCAGTTTTTACTATCCCAGTACAATTCACAATTGAAAAAATTCAAAGAAAAGATCATCATCTTCCTGATGCCTTAACAAGAGATATGAAAACGGTAAGGACAATATCAAGCATATCCATAGCTTGGGGTTAGAGATATTTTAGTCAAAGCCCAAAAAGCTCCCCCTGAAATGCTGTGAAACACTCCTCCCCAGTTCTCAATTTCATGAATTAGGAAAGCCTCTGTTGAAATCCAATGCTTTGCTTTTCTATTCAGAGGAATAACCACTATTTCAGGAATTTCCATGGGAAAATGGTATCAAACTATGTAGGGTAAAATTTGTGTTCATCATGTTCTAGATATTCTATATAGCAAGGTCTTTTCTCCTAGGCTCAATTCCTAAGGGTAGGGGCCCTCTCGCCACTGATTCACCCCAAAAAGGAATTTTCTCTTTCTTTGAAATGGGTTCTATATGAATATTTTGGTAAATCTATGGTGAGGCCCTTTCACTAAGGTATGAAGGCTGCTAGGAAACAGTGGAGAAAAATTAGGTTGTAACAAAAGGTAAGAACCAAATTCCCACCATGCTTCTGCAAGCGGGAACAGGAACAGACCCTGGGGCTCAAATACCAGAGGGCGGGCATTGATGCGCATTGGGCTAAAGACAAAATTTTATTTTAATTGAGCAGTATGTATATATGGACGTTATCTAATACAGAAATATTAATATTTTCTTAGGATGGTGCTCTGTGGCAGCTCGCATTCCTTCTTGTTTGGTTGGTTGCATGGAAGCTACCACGTGAAATACTTGATCAGGAGAATCAAGCATTGGGAAGCATGTGGTTTCTAGGGATGCCTTTTGGTTGGTGGTGAGGCCTTGAATATCTTTGGCTGAGTATAATCTTGTTGTTAGTTATGATCAGAGGGGGAGAAGAAAGAAAATCCCGATGGATAGTTCTGCAATATAAATATAAACTATTGAGCAACTTTGTAATAAAAAATGTGGGATGCTTTCTTCTTTCTACCTTGCAAGAGTAACAGTAAGAAGGGGGCTGAAATTTCTCAATCCATCTTTACATTACTCCCATCTGTACATTACTTTATCCATTTTCTCTTATCTATCTCTTTATAGCAAGAGAATGTCTCCATTGAAATTGCAAAATGAAATTCTTTTAAGGTTTTCCTAGCTTCTTCCTGTTTCATTATGGGATGACTATCTAAAGACTAAAGTTCTCGCAGCATTGAATTAACTGTAGGTTTCTGGACATGGTTGGTCACCACTGAAATTAAAGTACTACTACTTGGATAAATCAAAACGGGTGTCATATTGGATGCTTTTAAAACTTATGCAAGATCTCGAAATTGATGTTGTGGCCATGATCAGCATCATATTCTTCATGATAGATCACTCCAGCAAAGTTCCCTAGTACTTATGAGAAATTTCAAGTTGTTCGAGATCTTTTATCCTTGTGATCTTGTGAAGGTATCAGAGATCGATATCCTTCTTACATATTTTGAATCAACTAGCCAGAGTTCTTTGCCCCTGCTGATTTCTTGAGTTTATTCCAATTTCGTGTTCATTATATTCTTAAAGGAAGTTTAGCTGACCCCAAATGGTTGGGATAAGGCTTCGATGATGATGGTGATATTCTTAGAGGAAGTTTAAGTTACCCTACTGCAACAAAGTTGTTTCTTTAGGGCTGTAACAGTTTTTAATTATTCATTACCTTCTTTCCATCTATTCAGAAAATTGTATTGTTTAAATTTTTTGCTGTTATTTGTAATAGAGAATTGCTGGTTGTAATATTTTATCTAGAAATAGTCATCATCTTCTAATGAGCTTTCTGTTTAGAGTTCTCATTTTAGTTCAGTGTTGCTGATTATAAGTTGAATTTCTTTCTCACCTTATCATGTACATGCTAAGAGAGAACAAGTATCATTTTGTTGATGTTGCCTCCTGCATAGGTGTGGGAGATTGTTTATGCTAAGGACGGCGCTGTGAAGGAGATTTCAAAAGTTATGCAGCTCAAGGGTCATAAGGTAACCACTATCGTTAGTTTATGCACTTGCTTGTGAAAATTGTGTGCACATTATTTATCTATTTCCCTCACTTATCTTAAACAAAGTGTTTGAACTGTTTTCCTTTTCAGTAGATCCCTCCCATACCCTCATAATCATGTTATTATTTTTAGTTATTTTAATTTATTAATTTATGCATGATACTAACCGACCCCAAATACTTGAGATAAGGCTCAAATGATGATGATGATGAATTTATGCATATGATATTCGACATGCCAATCTTATGGAAAAACGATGATCCAACATGCCAAGACTAGAATAATGTTATGGACGATTGCAATTTATATTGTTCATATGGCTCAAATGGTGATGATGATGAATTTATGCATATGATATTCGACATGCCAATCTTATGGAAAAAAGATGATCCAACATGCCAAGACTAGAATAATGTTATGTACGATTGCAATTTATATTGTTCATATGGTATGACAATCAATGCTTTTGTAATGTGTTATGGGGAGGTATGGCAGTTTTAACTTTATGGAATTTATATGTTTTGATTAATTGCCATATTCTTTTTTTCTCTTATCCTAGTTTTATGATTTGTCAATTTCAATTATTCTACCTGGGATAACATTAAAAAAAGAAAAACAAGAACCACCTGGAAGGTTCTTCTGTGCATAGGTTCTGCTCCTCTAATTGCCTCTTTAATTCACTTTGACTTTAACATTAGAAATTGCTTTCAAATAGTTTAGTAAACGCAGGGCAGTTATCACTAGAAGCCTTTGGTTTTATGAGATTTTTTTTGCCATCTTTAGAGCTTGTCCTCAGTTTGCTTCGTTTTCGTTTGATATGAGATTGAAGTTTTTATCTGAGAAAAATCAGATGGATTTTTGTTCAGCTTATATTGCCACGTAGTATGTGATGTCGTTATGGATGTTTTCATGTATTACTTATGATTATTTGCTTGTTGAGATCTCTTCTTCCCCCTTGGAGGCTGGTGATGTTGGTGAGAACGTTGCTAAGTTTGGTGTTCCCTGTTCTATGCTAAGTGAGTTCATATTCCCTTTGATGATGTTCTGAGGTTCCATTGTCCTAGTATGAGTATTATACTGTGTTCTTGTTACTCGTGAAAGGAAAAAAGAATAAAACTACTACCCTTCTCTAAGAGGGTTCCATCATATCAATTGTTCCGGTTTAGCATTTATCTTTTGGGATGATGGCAACTGCGTGTGTTTCCTTCTGGAAAGCGGTGGCCGGCAGTATTTTTGGTTGTCATGGTGAGCAAAGTGATGATCCCGGGTTCAATCAATGATCTTGTATATTTGGATTTACCCAGATGATTGTAATTGTAAGCTACGGACATATTACTGAATTATATGAGTGTTGTTTTGTACACCAGGACATGTCAAATTTGTATGTGTCCTCTATTTATTCTTAGCCACATCTGTTTACAGTTGACTAATTTTGCTTCTCAGACCTATCTAGTGTGGCACTATTACATGTTTTTGCTTGAAATGCCATTGAGTGTTGGCTGATCAAGAGGAGAAAAAGGTTATTTGAATTTTTGTTTTGAGGTTTTATGTGATTGCAAAAGAACATTTATTCAATAGTGATTACTCATTCCATGTTGGTATCCTAAATCTGATGCAAAGGTGTCTACATTATTTACTTATTTATTTATTATTTCTTAGCTTGTTAGTATCGTCAATGTCTTTCTTCCGTTCCTTTTCATAAGATTCTAAACGTCTATGTCAACATTCAGAGTGCTGTGACTTGGCTGTGCTTTGCTCCAAATTCAGAACAAATCATTACAGCATCAAAGGATGGTTCCATCAGGATATGGAATATTAATGGTGGGTATCCATTTTCTTCGTTGGTGGAAATTTAATGGTTGGTACCAATTGGATGGCCTTTGTGTGGATACTAGTTTGTGGTGTTTGAGTTACCATTGTCGCTTTCATGTTGCCATTGGGGTGGCTTCTTTCTGTTCTTGTATTAATTGGCATTTAAGCATTTCTGTTGTTGTACCTTCCCTTTTCATTAGGGAGTTTCTTTGGAGATGTTTTGACATGTTTGTTTCTGTGTATTTATGTATATATATGATGCACATGTATTACTAATAGATAATTCTCATTTCGAATCTTAGGCACTGTCATTGCCTTGCCGCATTGGCAATGCCTAATGGATTGGCCCTGGCTCTTTACTTTCGGCTTTATTGCACTGATATCTTATGCTACTACTTTTTTCTTTTTTCTAGTTCGATATCATCTGGATGAAGACCCAAAGACTTTGAAGGTGTTCCCTATACCACTACGCGATGCAAATGGCTCAATTTTGCATTATGACCGCCTCAGTGTTTCGCCTGATGGAAAGATACTGGCTGCGACCCATGGATCCATGTTGCAGTGGCTAAGTATGGAAAGTGGAGAAATCTTGGATACAGCTGATAAATCACATGAAGGCAAGGAGTTCCCTTTTTTTTCCCTTGATTATTTCTGTAGTTGAGATTTTTTTTCAGTGCATACTGACATCTTTTGAATGGGATGCCTATTATGTATACTTTTGGAACCTTTCTTTACCATATTTTTTTCATGTAAGATCGTATTTGCATCCACTCTATTTCAAGCTGAATGTATCTGACTTCTGAAGCATATATATCTTGATCTCAGGCTTCCTTAAGCTTGTGTTTCACTGCTGCTTCTATAATACATGCACTCCTATGCTCGAATACAGATAAACTATAGGCATTTGGAATTTGGGATGACTGAAAAGCTGAACTTTATCCTGGTGAAAGATACCTGTGACTAACTGCTCCTTGCTTCTTGTTCCTCAGGTGATATCATGGGAATTGCCTGGGCATCTCAGCCTATCCTGACAGGTACCTCTATAGTTATTATTTAGCTATCTATTTCTACCTCATCGAAGACCAGTTTTTAATGTGCTCTCTTTCATGACGATCCAAGCACGTATAAGGTCTAAGATCAATTTTATATGGCAAATATCAAAACAGAAAGGGTAACAGATTGTTAACATCGATGACAGAAGAAAGTGCTAATCAGTCATAACCAGTTTTTATAAGCTACTCATATGACTTACTGAATCATATTTGCCTATATTATTATATCTTGCATTTGCTACCATCTGTGTATCAGGGGGTGAGTTTGCGACAGTTCTAGCCACTTCGGGGGCAGACAAGAAAGTGAAGTTTTGGGCAGCCCCTAAACGCGTTCTGTCATAAAGAATTTATTGCGACAAGTAAAATACGAAAGAGCAAAATGGACTAATTCTTTTATGGATACGAGAGGAGATGGATCATGGGTTTGTGGCAAGGACTCCGATATGGACTTCATAACCAAAACATACCTCAGTTAAGACATAGAGAACTAGTGAGTAAATCTATCTTTTTTATTTTTTATTTTTTATATTTATTTTTATTGGTTTTGGGGATAGCTCTTTGTTTGCATCTCACAAATGAGCATTTCTTGGAATGTCCAGTCTGTTTTGAGAAACTGTGTTTTTTTTGGGTTCAACAGTTTCATTCATAGATTAGAAGCTAATAATGATAAATAATAGTTTGGAAATTTTGTTTTGTAACATGCTGTATTGGATAATCATATTCTCTTGGATACAATGCTTTTGAGTTTGAATGTGGGTTCACGTGCATGGGTGCACCCACAAATCTATGAATTGTTCATGTCTTTTCGGTGGATTTGTCCATGTTTTTTCTATGGAAAAAGTTGGTGTAGGGTTTCGACTCGAATCTTGCAGAAAATTGCTGTTTTGGCAAAGCAAAAACAGCAAATCGATCATCTAGAAAGGATTTCAAGCCTTAGAAATAGTGTTTCTTGTAACGTATGTTTTGGAATGTCCATATTTAGTGTTCATAAATCCGTTAGATTTGCACCATTTTTGGAGCTTCATATTTCGCACTTTATGGGTGCACATTTTCTGGCCATTATAATGGTTTTTGGAACTAGAACTGCATATTTGGGCAGTGTTTTGAGGTGCGCCTCTGCGTTTTATTGTAAGGCCTAGGCGTGAAGAGGTGTGCTTTTACTTTTTATTGTAAAGCTTAGGCCTTATGCTAATGGCTCCTCTTTTTTGTTATCCATGTTTTTTTTTTTTGACAAATCTATGAATTATCCGTGTTTAACAACCTTAAAATCCCTTTTATCTGAAGTTAACTTATTGCTTCTCAAAATGATAAAAGTCAGTAGCTGTGATTTTTGGGATTTATCTACATAGAGACTATTTATCTTTGGGTGAAGTTGGCATACAGATGTGCTGTAGAGGTGCTGTAGAGGTGAGGTGCGCCTTCAAATTTTTTCATGGCATATAATTTTAATGTAAAATGTTCTTAGGATTATCTCAAAATCTATTTTTATATCTAATTATAAAATATTAAATTTAAAAAATGGTTAAAATTAAGTAGATCTTTAAACATATGAAAATCTTGAAAATGAACGATATAGATAATATGTTGTAAAATGCATTTTATTTCTGAGACTTAAAAATGTTTTTATTTGTCATGGTCTTACATGTCGATGTTGAGATGATCAATCAAATGATTTTTCAACATTAAAACTACTTTTTCTGATGGATTTTTGAAGTGCATTCATACCTTTACATTATAAGGTTGCAACTTTATATAAGTTTTTTTCGTTATCTTTTGTATATGGAGGTTTCAATCATTTTTGTCTATTAAATTTCAAAATGGGTGGTTGTAAGAGTGTCATTGAATAGGTGTAAAGTTTAAAAATAAAATAAAATTCTCTGACTCGTGGCTGACTCCAAGCCATCTAATTTGATAATTTAATGAATGGGAATTAATTTGACCTCCATATGCAAAAGATAAATATAAATGGTCTCTTTGTAGACAATTTCATATTTTTTTTAGCGGGAGCGAGTTTGGTTATTTGTATGGAAATTCATGATAAGTAGTATAAGATCCCTGGTTAACCACCCAAAAGAAAAAAAGATCACATGTCATTACAAGAGCACAATGAAAGCCTGTTCTTAGGTACAAAAAGACCCCTCTTAGTGCAAGCATGTCATCAATGCCTCATATTATCTGAGCATGACATCAGCACACCATACCCCCTATTCTTTGGCAATTCTTTTGTTATTCTTAATAAATAAGCAAATTGAGAACCACTTTTCTGTTTCTTGTTTTTATCTTTGGCCCTAAGGAGGATGACAAAAGTATAAAATAAGAGCATTTATTAATAAGTCACAATCACCTCTAGGTGTAAAAATCTTGTGGCTTGGATGTGTCATCGATCCTGTTTAATGTATGAGAAAATTGGTTTGAAATTGTGTGAAAAATGACTACCTAAAAATGATACATCTCTAATTGTTAGGTTTGACATTTGATGGATACGGGTGACTTATTAAAGATCAATTGTCTTATAATATACAATCTATAACTTGATTAGGTTTGTCAAACTTTTGTTTGACATGCTTTTTTTCTTTTGGTGAAGCTATGTGTGTGTGTGTGCGTGCATATGTACTATCCATGTTGACTTGTATTGAATGTTTTTTGCGGTTTATATTTCCCTGCCGTTTCATTCAATATCGGCGCAAAAATGTGCTATGTGATGTGCGTGATCGTTAAGATCAATTGTGTTTTGATTTTTCAAAAGTTTAATGAATCAGAGTTTATATAGAAAAGATGTTGTCCTACTTGTAATTTAAACATGACTTATGGTTGGATTTATAGAACATTTAGATTTGGTAAAAGGCTGACAAAGGTTTTTTTATTTATTTTTGACAATATCCGAAAGTATTATTAATGGCTAAAAGATGTTACAATAAGTTACAAAATGGAATTTAGGTCATCAGCAACCACAATAGACTCCATAGTAAACCCTTTTTAGCCAATGCATCTCTAAAGGATTTTAAAAATCGGCGAGTCGCAACGGATTCACCCGAGTCGACACAGGAATCAGGCACTCCGTGTCGATTCTTCTACAAAACCAGAAATCGTCCGATCTTAAAAGAGAATCGGGCGAATCGGCAATTTTGATTATTAATGGCTAAAAGATGTTACAATAAGTTACAAAATGGAATTTAGGTCATCAGCAACCACAATAGACTCCATAGTAACCCCTTTTTTAGCCAATGCATCTGCAATAGGATTCTAAAAATTGGCGAGTCGCAATGGACTCGCCCCGAATCACAAGAATCGGGCACTCCGTGTCGATTCTTCTATAAAATCGGAAAGTCGCAATGGACTCGCCCGAGTCACAGGAATTGGGCACTTCGTGTCGATTCTTCTACAAAACCGGAAATCGTCTCATCCTAGAGGAGAATCGATGCAGGAATCGGGCACCCCGTGCCGATTCTTCTGTAGAACCGAAAATCGTCCGATCCTAGAGGAGTCGTCACATGAGGACGTTTTGGTAATTTTTTTCAAAATATCATAACTGGTGTACCCTTTCTCTCCATGGCGCTAGTGTTAAAGCTTTTGTAAAAGTATTTATACCTTCTACACTTTCTACAATTCTTCGATGTAGGATTTGTGCTAAGCCATATTATATTGAAAATTCATATAATATAGGTGATTATTGTACAAAACTCTTTAGTAGCACGTGAGGGGTTGCCATGGTTAGCAGCATTGGTTCTTATGCGTGATGTTCCAAGTTTGAATCCCAATTGGGATGTTATTGTGCAAAATTCATTTTTTTGTTTTTAATTTTTTTTTAAAAATAATATCATAAAAAAAAGAGATAGGTTTTTACTTTTGTCTTAAAAAAAAGACTAAAATTTATCTTCATACAAAAAGAAAAAGAAAAAAGATAATAATATCATAATTTTTTTTTAAAAAATAATATCATAAAAAAAGAACATAGGTTTTTACTTTTGTCTTAAAAAAAAGCTAAAATTTATCTTCATTAAAAAAAAGAAGAAGATAGGTTTTTACTTTTGTCTTTAAAAAAAAACTAAAATGAAGGAAATAATATGATAAAAGAAATAAAGAAAATAAAAAGTAATACAACAAGCGAAAAAAAAAAAGGTAATATAACATCTTCTTTTTTTTCTTGTAAAAAAAAAAAAATAATATAATAAATATCATATTTTATCGTAAAAAAAATTACAACAAGTATTTCTTGTCAAAAAAAAAAAAGATATTTCTTAATACAACAAATACTTTTTAATACGAACTAAGAACAACTGATCTAATTATACTTTTAATTATACTTTTTAGTTTTAGTTGAAAGGAGACCTCCAACTTATCAGTCAAATCCAAATTTGCTGTCACAACTGATGCACCTCCCATGGGACACGCCACTCCGTTTTGCACCGTTGAATCGTGTTTAAGGAGTCACCCTCAACCACACAAAGCTCCCCCCTTAATGTCATGCCGGTAGAAGTGAAGCCATTTCAGCGGTATTAGCGGAAACCACTGCACAAGGTCCTGCATAAGCAAATAAGGCATTCCCATTCCAATCTTTAGCCACTCCTCTCAAATACGATGCACATAAATTGTCAAAAGAGCTTCCATCAAAATTTAGTTTATAGCAACTTACAAATAGCAGGGGAGTCCAAAAAGTCTTCGGACAGCTATTAATCCGCCTCATATTTAAAAGATTCGAAACATTCAGACGTACATCAATTTCAGAGATCCCCCACCTTTCTTTTGTAATAGAAAACCAACTCCAAGAGGTGTGAAGGATATTATTCAAAATTCTATCCAAAGGTAGAAAAAACTTTGAAGGTTCTCCGATTTCTGTCTTAGAAGTTCCACAAATGATAATTGCGTAAGGATGCAGAAATAAATGAGTCCCCAATTCCCCATCATTTTTGCATATTAGACAAACATTTGGTAGTACTTTTTCCCTTTTTAATAAGATTGTGAACAGTTAAAATTCTCTCTTGCATTGCCAACAACAAAAAAAAAAAAGCTTGAACCTTATGTGGAATAGGCTACTTCTGTATACCCGACAACCTACAATCTGTCCACCACTACCGATCATGAAAAAAAAGTTTATACACATATTTAACTGAAAACAATCCATCATTCTCTAACTCCCAGGCTATTTCATCTACCACCTGCACTTCTAGAAAAACGTGGGCCAAATTTTGCAAAAGGGAGAGATATTGATTAACCATCCCACTAGGTATTCTATTATACCGAAACTTAATATTCCAAAATATTTGATCTACTCTTATTTCGACCAGTTTTGACACCTTTGCTTGAGGTGCTACCGTCCTCTCATAAATATATGGGAAATAAAATGTGACAGTTATTATTGGCTCTTGGATGTGAAACCGGATGGCTCAGATATGCTACTGATCATGCTCAAAAGTCCCTAAAATTTTTGATCTTCACTCCTCAGGCTAGGGATGGTTTTGACCTTGTATCAAAGTAAATGATTTTATGATATACAATTCTATAATTTTCATGGTGAGGTTTGTATAATATGCCCACCTTATACAAGTGTGGCACACCTTGAAATTTTGCTTGAAGATGTAGTTTCGGTATTGGAAGTCTTACGATGGCATGAAAATCCATGTTCAACTTGAATTATAAAATTTATAATTCCAAAAAAAAACAGTGCAAATTGATCAAATTTATACACTTTAAATTCTTGAAAATAGATGGTCAAGATAACTCGTCATAAGAACTATTTATAAAGCTTGAAATTTCTTTTCTTCTTCTTTATACTATACATATTGAGGTTGAGATCATCTAT